CAACAGAGCCTAGATGAAGGTCCTGCACCTGGATTGGATCAATCTCACTAATGGATGTTGGATGGGTAATGAATAAATTAACAGCATCCCTGAGGAGAAGGACTTACACACACTTACACACTAAAATTGTAAATAAATCCTAAATCACCCTAAAATTCTAAAAAGAATTACAAACTAACAAAAAAATAAAAACTTTATTCTCACTAATAAAAAAAAACAGACTAAAAATACATCACCATATAGCCATCTACCAACAAAAAACCAAAAATACACACTTTTCACAAATAATTCTTACCACAATATAAAAATAAATCAAAAATAACAAACAACCATATAAAAACCCACACAACAAATCACAAAAACCAGTAAAAAATATCAAACCAACTTCCTAAAGTCAAAAGTATTCAACTCACCCTAAACATTACTAAAAAAATGGCTCTCTACCACTACACTAATTAATAAATAAAAAACATTACTCTACAAAAATAATTTAAAAATATAAAAAACTGGAATGATGAGGAATTCGGAATGTCCTGGCCACATGAATAAGCTGAAAAAAAAATCCCCCAAGCCCTGGGGTTATCCCCACAGTGAGGGCAGCACATTCTGCCCCTCTGCTGCATTCTGAGGAGAATGGACTTCTGTGTTCCACTCTGAGGACACAAAAGAAGGAAAGACATGGACCCCCTCAAGCAGATCTGAAAATGGCCTTGGGAGATGATGAAGGTCTGGAGGAACTTGTGTCCAGCCAAAGTGAGCCCACCAGCCAGGAGGGCCTTGTGTCAGAGGCACGGATGGACCTGCATTGGGGGATCCAGGTGTGTGTTTCAGCAACTGAAGAGTTGTTGTGGTGCACTGGAAGAACAAAGTGTACCAGTGGGGAGTGGAATTGGGGAAATAATTCCTACAAGAGCTCTTGGAGCACTTTTCCAACAATCCCAATAACATCAACAACATTGACTTGATCTCAAATTGTCTAGGAAGAAGAATGAAGGAGGAGTCTTTTGAGGTTAAGATGCACGAAAACTTTATTGAGGTAGAACAGTGAAAACTCAGGAGCAGCCAGTGGAAGGGAGCTGGTCTGAGGTACAAGTAGGGCGACCATCAGCCAATGCCCCTTCCTTGCCGATGGTTTAGCCAGAGCACCAAGGCCTTCCTGCCCCACAGTGGGAGCAGCCAGAGGTGCCCAATGGTGTCTGGCATGGGAGAAGGGGTTTGCAGCAGAGGAGCTGGACAGAGCCAAAGGGATGATGCAGAGCACAGAGAGGGAGAAGTGGAGGAGGCAGATGGGCCATGTTTGCAGGCAGCTCGGGCTGGGCCCTTGGCTGCTGCCTTGCCTCGTGCCCTGAAAGCAGGAACTGGAATTGCTGAGCCTGTTTGAGAGCCTTGGCCCAGAGATGCATCTTCAATGCCGGAGATGAGTTCCAGGGAGTGGGTGGTGGTGTCAGGGGTGGTGCTGAAGGCCCTTAGCAGATGGAGCCATAGCCCCTTCTGCCATAGCAGCCCAGGCCTCCCAGCCCATAGCCAAATCCACGGCCATAGCCAAGGCCTCCAAAGCCACCAAATCCCCCAGAGATGGGCTGTCCCTGCACACTGAGCTCAGTGCCCACGGCAGCCGAGGAGGTGGATCCGACGGCGGTGTTCTGGGGGAAGGAGGTCATGATGGGTCCTGGCAGGGTGACCAGCACAGGGGAAGG